ACATTCCCCCACTCCCAATTAAAAATAAGAAAAAAAAAAATTCTTTCCCTGCTTTCAAGTTCTCTACAGAAACTTTTCAAGGTTTCTTCCCACTCAATTTTTTTGGAAATCCTACAGTTTTAGAGGCAACAATCACTCCCAGTTTCACAGGACTAAAAGACTGGTGCAAGAGGGATTTTTTTAATGTAATTTCTTTCTTCCTTTAGAACCTGGAGAACTCTTTCAGGGATTAAATTTAGCCTGCAACATGCAGTCAAAAATTTTCATCACAGAATGCAATAAACAGCAGCATCTCCACGCCTTTCAGAAAAATATTGTCAAAAATAGTCAAACCATTAAAAAAAAAAAGTTTTAATGATTGTGAATGTTGTCGTGAATTATAATGCTTCTTAATATTATTTATGATCTAGGCTCACTAGTTCAATACCATGTAAATCAGTAATGAATTTCATCATGAACCCGCACCAGCTATTACTAACTGCTTATTGAAGATCCTCTAACTTGGACAGAATAAGTCACCAATTCTAATTTTAAAAAAATCCCAAAAAAGCAAAGGCAATTTTCTTATCAAATACGTTAGTTGCAACAGAAGTAGCAAAGTAAACAAGAGAGTTATTTTATTTCATAAGGAGCTTTCTAGAGTAATGATTTATGAGCTTAGAGGAAGCAAGCAGCTCTGGTACCACAGCTTCTCCAAAGTCACCACAGCTGTTACACAAGCTCTGTATATCACCCATGCTGGCCTATTTTGGTTTCTAGCACTGCTCCAGGTACAAAGAGACACAAAGCAAGACTTTGAAATTCTTATCCAGGTGAAGGGTAAAGTGTAATCTTTGAAACTGGGCTCTGTACCTTTCTGAATATATCCCATTTTGAAAGGAAGCGACGTACACCTTTCTTTTGTCAACTGGCATAACATCAACATAACCACCCTGGTTGCGGACTACACCAGCATGTACTGCTGCCCGGCAGATACTGGATATCTAAGAAAGAATGAAGAGAAGATTAGTTTTCATTCATCCTTTTATTTCAAAGTTGTTTAGAAGAAACTAATAAAGGCATTTAAACCAAATTCTAGGAAACATAATTATATTTGTTGCATGATTGATTTTATTAATCTTATTGAGATTTTTTTCATAGGAAACACGCCAGTTTATAGGAATACAGACACTGCCTCTTCAAAGATCTCCTGCAGCATGACCTCAAAATCATTTATTTCAGACTATTTCAGTTCAAAGATTAGGGACATGTCTGAATTCTTAAGTCTCTCAAATGAAAGGCTCTATCAGCCTTCACTTCAACAGCAGAGAGGTAGTGAATTCCAAACCTTAGTCAACTGTTATAGATCAGGAGATTCAGTTTAATCTCCAGCTAGAGCCAAACAGGGGAACTGTGGAACAGCATAGGCACATGCAGTTATGTGTTTCTAGGAGGATGTCCTACCACAAAGGTGAGAGATTGACTGCAATAATTACATCTTTAGGTGAAAAACCTTAAACAGCAGCGAAATGATCCATATTCAAAGCCAACATCTATCTTATCCAGGCATAGACAAATACTAAAAGCATATTAGCTTACAGGTATAAAGCGAGCATCAAACAGAAGACAGAGGCCTAAAATTGTTTCTTAGCTAAGACAGTTGATTAATGACAGACTAATGGCTTTAGCTCCTCAAGTCTGAGTGAAGAAATAGGAAGTGAAGACTCCAATGGCTTCAAAAGAAGATTCTTGAAATCAGCGTTTAATTCCATAAACTTTACGCAGGCAAGATTACACAGCACTGTTGTGCACCAGACTTTGAAAACAAAAATCCAGGTTGCAAACACAGATGCAGCACCAGTGAAGGAGTCGGGGTGTGAACTATTACAGGAGCCTGACCCCTACAAATTGACAGGCTCTGACAACGTCCATCCAAGGGTGTTAAGAGAACTGGCTGATGTTGTTGCAAGGCCGCTTTCCAGATCTTTGAGAAGTTCTGGAGACTGGGGGACATCCCAGAAGAATGGAAGAAGGCTCATGTCACCCCATCTACAAGAAGGGCTTAAAGGAGGATCCAGGAAATTACAGACACATCAGTCTTTCTTCAGCCCCTGGGAAAAATATGGAACGAATCCTCCTGGGGGCTGTCACAAGTCAAAGGAAGCACGACTGGGAAAAGCCAGCACAGATTCACCAAGGGAAAATCATGCTTGGCAAACCTCATCACCTTCTATGACAAAGTAACCTGCTCAGTTGATGTAGGGCAAGCAGTGGACATTGTCTACCTGGATTTCTTCGAGGCTTTCAACAGTTTCCTAAAGCCTCTTCCTAGAGAAACTGATACATTATAGTCTAGACAAGTGGTCTGTGCACAGACCGCACAGTGGCCTGTGCGGTAGGTGGGGAACTGGCTGACCGGCCATACTCAGAGGGTGGTGGTGAATATCTCCTTTTTAACTGGCAACTTGCCACAAGTGGGGTGCCCCAGGGATCAATATTGCGCCCAACAGTGTTTAGTATCTTTGTAAATGATCTGGATGATGTGATCAAATGTACCCTAATGGAGTTTGCCAACGGTACCAAACTGAGGGGAAAGTGGACATCCTGGAAGGGAGAGCTACCCTGCAGGATAACCTGGATAGGCAGGAAGAGCGGGGTAACAAGAACATTATGAATTTCAACAGTGACAAGTGTAAGGTCTTGCACTTGGGAAAATGTAATCCAGGAATGCAGCACAGGCTGGGATCTACCATGCTGCAGCTTTGTGGAAAGAGGATCCCAGGGGATAGCAAGCTCAATATGAGTAAACAGTGTGCAGCTGCAGCAAATAAATCTAACAGGATGTTGTGTTACATCAACAAGGGTATCACCTTGTGGAATCAGATTCTAATACAAGATTATCCCACTGCACTTGGCTCTTGTCAGGTCATAGCTGGAATATTGTGTTTAGTTTGGTTCCCGCTATATAAAAAAGCTGTGGACAGGCTGGAAAGGGTCCAGAGGACGGCCACAAAGATGACCAAAGGACTGGGAAGGCTGCTACATGAGGAAAGGCTGAGAGAACTGGATTTGTTCAGCCTGAAGAAAAGAATGCACAGGGGCGACCTTATCATCATGTTCCAGTAATTAAAAGGTACTTAGAGGGTACATCAAAGATGATGGAGAGTCCCTTTTTACAAGGAGTCACATGGAAAAGATGAGGAGTAATGGTCACATGTTACTCCTGGGGAGATTCCAATTGGACACAAAACGAACATTTTTCACAATAAGAACAATCAGCCATTGGAATAATCTCCCAAGGGAAGTGCTGGATTCACCAACATTGGGACGCTTACAAGATTCAGCCGGACCAGGTGCTGGGCCACTGTGGTTTTGCCAAGAAAGGTTGGAAGAGATGATTCCTGAGGTCCCCTTCCAACATGGTGTTCTATGATTCTATGAAAATTCTCTCTGAAACAAACAGCAGTTTCACCTGAGTGAAACTCAGTTTCACCTACATTCTCTGGCCACTAATTTCTCTCATGAGCCTACGTAGCATAAATAAATCCACCAAAGGATTGCTCAGTGACAAGCTTGATAATGTTCATTTACATAATTGATTTAAGCTTGCAGTCCTCTACTACTCTTTCAGCTTTTTAAAAATTGCCAGAAGAATGAAACTCCTCAGGCACTCCAAAATGCAGGTCCCAGTCTTCAAGACACAGCACAGCAAAGTGTAGTTACAGTTACAGTGAATCTGCACTTCAAGTCAAGCTGTTTTGTGGAAAAAAGTCTTCACTGCAGCAGATGGCTCCACGACTGACCTTAAAAATGTAGCCAATATTAATATCAATAGCTGGTCACACAGACCACTGTTATTCTTCCAGTTATAATTGGAATAATTTATATTTGTTACCATACTATTTTGTAATCTCGATGCTATATAAAATCAGTTTAAAATAGCAATGTTTTTCCTACTCTCATTCCAAGCACAGAACTTGCCAGTTCCACTGTTACACAGTTTGTCCTTTAATGTTACAATATGTGTAGGAGTAAAGATTTTAAATTGTTTACACAAAGAATCTTTTGCAAAGATACCTTAGGTTTTCTTTTCACGCTGCTGGCAGTGGTTTTAGAATACGCCAGAAGGGATGCCATTTATGCTCCTCTATACTTTTCCTCCCCCTCCCAAGGCTGCAAGGCTTAAACTCTGTGTACCAGTAGTTGCCTTATTTTTAGGATTATAGCATTCTTTATGTACTCATACTGTGGGAATAACTAAAGATAATACTGATCATGTGTAATTTCAAATATACAGGGGGAAAATGGCCTCTACAGTACAGGATTATAGTCTAAAGAAACAAAAGGTGAAGTTAACAAGCAATTAACTACTAGTGAAGAACTAGGAGAATGCTATTAATTACTAGTACTACAATATAGTAGCAATTGTGTTTTCAGTTCACGCTGGAGATAGATACAAAAAAGGTAAGAGGTACCACTGGGGAAAAGAAAGATCAAAGTTTGTCACATACGTAATAGTAACCTAAAGGCTACAATTCGTGTGTATCATTAGATGGGTAGATTCCTTCATAACAACATCTGAGTGTAGCTAAGATAGTGGCTATTCCAATGTTATTTGGAAGTTTCTAGTAAAAAAGAAAGGAAAATCAAGGGATGGAGATTTTGACAGAAGAGGCTGACTATTCGTTGGAAACTATTTCCAGCAAAGGATGGGGTCATTTTTAGGGTTGGTACCACAACTGGTTACTGGATCAATGAAGTATGCCTAGGCTAATGAATGACATTTTAAAGCTGAAGCCAAGATGCTTATATGGGATATGTGAAAAAAAAAGAGGTCAGAAGAAGGGGGTTGATGAGGCCAACTGAAAAGCTATTATCAGATGAATAATACAATAATACAGTGATGCTCCTTTCCAGATGAGACTGGAGAACAAATGTGTGTACTTTTTTAACACATGAACAATTAAATGAGTATAAATTCATAATCATAAACTAGCTTGTAAGAACAGAGATGAATAAATACATTCAGTTTTATTGATGTATACAGAATGTAATTTTTTTTTACTAAGTATTATCTGCTTTGAGCTTTAAAGAACTTCTCATTGGCTTGGCAATCTTAATCTAAATGGAATCAGATTCCATATTCCAGTACTGTTGCCATAATACTTCCTATACTTAATAATATTATGTCTCCTGATCATACTTGCTTGAACTGTTAAGGTAAACCTCCTGCTGACTTAAGCAGAATAGGTTTCACACTTAGGTCTATCACAGATTTAAGCATATTATTGGTATTTTATGTTAACAGCCTTATGCCACTTTCTGGAAGTCTTCATCAGAGATTTGGGTCTGCTTGATAATGCAGGGACTGACAGCAACAACAAAGGACAATCTCTGTACTGACAGGTGCTACAAGATCATCTCCCTCAGAGTGCAGACAATCACACTGGGCCTGACATGATTCAGTTCTTGGGAAGGTTTTTATTTCCTTTCACAAATATGGTCATACTGAATAGTTCTTTAAAAATACAGATATTGTTAAAATGCCTGCCAACATGACACAATTCTGAAATTCCAGAAATAAAAATCAAACTGGTTTAGACAAAATGGATTAACCAAAGTTTAAAGGTGGATCCAACTGTTAAACACAAGACAGAAGGAAACTTTCTTTTTTCTTGGTCTCTCAACAAGATAAAGCATTACCATGTGGAAACTCTTAGCCCTGGGGTCAGCAGGGACACAAAGCACAAAGGCAATGATGTGTCTGGGCCATATGAAGAATGAGTAATTTGTATTTTTGTCTGCTGAGAACAACACATCCTGCAGTTCTGCTTCATACTGTAATAGCTCTATTAAGAAAAGAAACTCATTGTACATAAACCCAGAATAAGAGATAACTTTGTTTTAAAAGAGCTTGCAATCTACCTCAAGACAAGTGAAACAAACACAAACGAATTAAAAAATATAAGGTATAGAACACAGAGAGATGGGTATTATGTGAAACTCCCCACAAACATAAGTTTACAGATGCTGGCTATATGAACCATGGCTATGACAATAAAGTGACGATAGCTACGAGACTGGAAAAGAGAAGGATAAAATGATGGGGGGTGGTGCTGTTTCAATAGAGTTAGGTATAGTCAGTGCAATGCTAAAGGAAAAAAAGAACAGGAGGGGAAAAAAAGTAAAAAGTCTGTGGGGCATTATTGATAACTCAGAGAAAAACCCTTCTCAGGAACAGGGAGGAAAAGAAGTCACTGTAAAATATGAAATTAATGTAAGAATGAACGTCTGATCAGACCGAAGCCAGAAAAGGAAAGGTTAAACTGGATTCTCATGAATGTGTGCTACAAAAATGGGTTTGTAAATATATTTTTTTGCACTAGTGACATCTACTAATGCTACTTGCTTTTTTCTTAGTATCTCTGCAAAATCTTCTTTTACTGAATGCAAGTAGCCTAAGCAGTAGTGAAAAGAAATGGTCATGTACATATATGCATACATACATACATATATATGTATACACACATATGCATTTTTGAAACAAAAGAATGTGCAGGAATGTAACAAAGAACCCCATCTGTTTTGTGGACTGCAATTTCAAACACATTTTCTGTGACACGTGGGTAACTGAATTCTCTGTATCTATGGACAAAACTGACTGTGAATACATGAAAAAATGAAAAAGAAGACACACATTAAACAAATATTCTCTCTAATTACTTCACCTGAAACTAGTTCAGCAACATACTATAATGCACAAAATACCCAGCCATATTATTTAGTAAAAATTTCAATTAGAAGTATCTTAATTTTAAAATACTTTAAATATTACCTACAAAGGAACATTGTAGAAAATCACATAATGCTGATACCATCGATGGAAACTACTGTACAGATACAAGTAGGACACATCTGTCTACATTTGAGCTAGATGCCCTAGAAGCCTTCTGTAGGAAATGTAGAGGAATAGACATCTCTATTAGGCAATTCATCTCATACTGAATCAGACACTCAGAAAAGGTCAAATGACTTCTGCTCTGCAGATGCCCATTTATCTCCTTTACCACTATCCTGTATGTACTGCAAACTACTGTCAGTATAACCTAGAAAGGCATCATCAGTGTGGCAATCTACCCTTGACAGCATCTGAAGTTGGTAAGACAACTCCCATCCCTGGTTTCTTACCTGTATTTATGTCCATTTTTTCCTAAAAGCAGTATGGCTGCACACATTTCTATACAATGGAGATGAATAATGAGATAGTACATCTAAAATTATGTTAAAGCATAACTCTATAATACTAATGAAAGCCATCTGAGACTTCTCAAACCAAAGCAAATACATATTCTGAGATGTTCTCCTCTGTAAGTTAAACAGAAGTAAGTAAGTCTTCTTTCCACTACAACAAAATCTTTTCTAACTCACTGGGCAACTTCGGCTGCAGCCTTTGATTGCAACCACAGTACTGAAAAAAAAATAGGCTTCTAAAAAATGAGCTTTCATTTGAATCTGTTTTCATTGCCCCTCTTACACACATTAAGGACCAAGTTCCACATGCACAAATCAATTATCTTCCTGAACTGGAAGTACTTCTCACACATTTAAAAACATTTATGGACAAGTGTTTTCAGGACAAGTTACTCAGGTAATCTAACAGACATGAGTTAATTTCAAAATAAGGATGAATAAATATTTGCAGATCATTTTCACACATTTCAAAGTGATGGGAAATAGTGAAAATAATCATCTGACCCTGCTGGTTGCCACATTATGATAGATAAAAGACAGTTGAAACATACAGTTTACTGGCAAAAAAGTAAACTGCGCTCTCTGCCACTGCATCCTGGCTTCTCCATAGAGAGAAGACAAAAGAGAGGCATAAAAAAGAATTCTCTCTTCATTCTTCCTACCTACTAAACATAGAAAACTAAACATAGAAAAGACAGGAGAAGAAAGTTGACTAGTAGACAGAATGACTACTAGTCAACAAACAAAAAAACCCAACCCATAAAACCAGTATTAGTCTGTTAAAATAATATGAGTGTGAGATACTTTCCACAAATATATCAAAATCCTACTGCAAATACTTAGCTATCTGCACAGTTAAGAAATATCCAAAATAATGAGATGTGGACATTTATTCTCAGATTTTATTATTTATTTCTTTTTAGTTACTTTAATCTGACAGAAGTTATGGTTGCATCAGGTTCTAAAGAGCAAAGATTTGAATAAGTACACACTGCCAATACTGAACAAGTTGAAAATATAGGTTCAGAGACTACTGAACTCTACAATGAGCTTTCAAATAACTTCCCGTACCTTCAGCAGCTCAGTACTACTCAGTTAAATTACAGCCTTTGAAAACGAATTTTTGAAAAGACTGTGTAAAAAATGAGAATATGGAGGAGAACCAGATATCTGTATTATATCTTGTTATCTTTACATTATAGCTTTTCATGGTTTTTTTATTACATACTACAGTGTAACTCACTATACTTACATCAGAATAAATTCGTGTTCCAATTACACGAGCATAGTGTGGATTTGCCTGCATGCAGTTGTGAGGACAATACACCCTGAAATATCAAAAATAAACCACACAGTTAGAAAGAATGGTATCAGAGTATTACTACATCATATTTAACATCAGCATTATTGAGTATAAATCAAGTTGATGCATACCTTTTTTCTGGGGTAAAGGTTGGACTTGACTATTTTAAAGATCTTTTCCAACCTAGTTGATTCTATGATTCTAAACATATGGGTCTACTCTGATACTAAAAGGCTGTTAGTTTTTGAGATTTTGACAATACAGGTGAAAGCATTGATGATGTAAGTTGTAGTTTGTAATAAAGTGCTTGAAAACACATTTCTGTTTTCAGATAGGTCTGGTCTTCTTCCCTTTCGATAAGCAGATCGTGTTCATGTTCAACATACATGAGGCCAACAGAAAAGCCAGTGAGAAGAGAGACTTCCCTTTTATATTATTATCTGATTCTACAGCATCCTATACAAACTGTATACATGCATACCTTCTCAGCAGAGGCAGATCTGAATGAGGACCTGGTATGATGCTGATGATGTGGTGATGAAAGGCAATTTAGAAACTTACATTGAGGGTCAGCACTTGGTATCTGTGGCTAAACTGAAAAACTCTGGAAAGTAATGAGATTCCTGGCTGATTCTAGGATATCAGAAAGCTACTGAAACAAAGACTGTCTTTAGTCAACTGCATTTTGTTAACCTTTGAGAAAACTCTCTCTGTGATTCATGCCTGCTATAGCTCCAAAATGCACAGCAAAACCATGTGAGATGCTAACAGGAGTACAGAAGTGTCCTGGGTTCAGCTACAGCAGTCATTTTTTTCTCCTTCTTAGTAGCTGGGGCAGTGCTGTGTTTTTGACTTTCAGTCTGGGAACAATGCTGATAACACCGATGTTTTTAGTTGTTGCTAAGTAATGTTTACTCTGACCAAGGACTTTCTCAGTCTCATGCTTTGCCAGAGAGGAGGGGAAGCCAGGAGGAAGCAGAGACAGGACACCTGACCCAAACTGGCCAAAGGGGTATTCCAGACCACAGCACGTCATGCCCAGTATAGAAACTGGGGGGAGTTACCCGGAAGGCCCAGATCGCTGCTCGGGTCGGGCTGGGTATCGGTCGGTGGGTGGTGAGCGGTTGTGTCCTTTTCCCTTGTTATTCCTCTTATCATTATTATTGGTAGCAGTAGTGGTTTGTATTATACCTTAGTTACTGGAGAGCTGTTATCTCAACTCGTGGGAGTTACATTCCTTCAATTCTCCTCCCCATCCCTCCGGGAGTGGGGGGAGGAAGGAAAAGGGGGGGAGTGAGCGAGCGGCTGCGTGGTTCCAAGTTGCCGGCTGGGCTTAAACCACGACAAGAAGGCATCAAACATCTTATTTGGTAATTCTAATATTGACTGAAGGAACAAGTTTCAATCACCTCTAGGTCTGCTCTGAGTGTTTCATTTGAAAAATGGGTCATGCCCTAATGGCTAATGCCCACACTTCAATCAATAGTCAGCATGTCACCCCACTTGAGCATGCTACAGTCTTACCAGATATGAAACTCATACAGGCTGATGCAGCTAGAAAAAAGATTTTTGTGTGAAGGAAGCAAGATGTCAAAGAGGCCTTTTGAAGACCTGCTGATTTATGATTAAGGCAGGAGAGGGAAAAAGGAGGTTGTGCAATTAATGCCATAGCTGATTACTGCTTGAAACTCCTAAGACTACGTTTTCAGAATTAACTTAAGAGCATTCACAGAATCTTGAATGAATCACTGTTGCTGTCAAATTCCTTCAGCCGATGCATCAGAATTAATCCGCCATTTTAAACTTTATTTTTATTTTCAGATTTTCTTAAAGACACACTTTATATTTCCCTTAATTAAGCTAGTTTCAGTTTTTAATGAAGAAAAAAAGATGGAAGTAATGAGATTGTACCCATCCATTCCTGCATTCCATTCCTTCGCTTACTTCTCCACATCTTCCAGCAAGAAAGCTAGGAGTCATAGCCAAACACCAAACAAGTCCATGGACCCAAGTGCTACATGAAGGGATATTTTCCTAGCAGTTCTGGCTTTGTACTTGCTTCCTGTATTGGCTGTAGGATTGCTGTGAAAGTAATCCTGTGGGTATATCTACCTTAGCTTGTGGTAAATCGTGCTACAGTGTTATTTACCTTTGACTCATCTATGGTTTTAAGAACTGTTACTGATTTCCTTCCTCCAAATACTGGGGCACAGGCTTCTTTCAAAGAGTTAAAATGCAGGCTTCAAAGAAATGGCACATCTATTTAAAGCTGTTAACTGACCTGCAGACCATACCTTACCTTAAATGTATATACTTCACATTTTTTGCAAAGATATTTACTCACTCTATTCTCCAGAACTCACAAACATGTTGATAACTTCTATGATAAATACCTGTATCATATCCTTTTATTGTATCAGTTTTACAGACAAATAAACTGAAATAAAGGGTATTTTGCCCAACGTGCATAGATATAATGGACAATGAAACATAAAAAGGAATTCTTCTTTGCAGTCTGTAGTCTTACCAATGATGATTTCACTAAGATTTGCAAGGGATATTTATGGGTAAAAGAGATATTCTCCAAATACAAAAGCCTGTAGATCATCTTTACCTACCTGGCCTTCTATTTAGACCAAAGAACAAAATACCAGTAAAACATTTTTGGCTTCACTTTTACAGCTACTGTTGCCACCTTTATCAACGACAACTATAAATAATAAGAAACTGACAAAAAATGTCAGCACTTCAAATTAACAAGAATCAAAGAATTTTACCTTGGACAGTGTGAGGCTGGTTTTTGAAATGGGCATAGTTGTTCCACTGTTGTTTCACAGGTGATAGCTTGAACTGAAGAAAGTAAACCAGAAACAAATAAATGTGTGCTATTTAGAAAAAACATAACTCGAAGTAGTACTGAGTTTATAAGAAATAAATGCTAACCTGTTACTTTAGAGACAGTGAACGAGTTAGCAGACTGGTATTTTCTGAAGAAGAAAAAGTAGAAATAGTCAGTAACATATCTCATTGATTTCTTTAAATAGAAGGATTTTGAATAGAGAATCTAAAAATCAACTCAAGACACTGTCCCAAATAATTTTTACTCACTGCACTCCCTCTCCCCAGTTGTGAATCTGTTTATTGCAATGACACATTTACTTTGTACTCCCAGTGAAATCTGAAAACCAGGAATGCATGTTAAAGTCTTTCAGTAATTTAATCTGCTAAGAGACTAAGTGTGCTAGGAACAAATTATGCAATCTATTTGTCTCTAAAAATGTAGCAATCAAAATCTGGTTGCTCAGAAGCATCCATCTATTAGAAGACATCATTCACTTCCCCTAAAGGTACATTCTTACAAACAGCTCCAACACTGAAAACAGTTTCTCAACCAGTCTTTTTGAAAAAATTAATGAAATTTTACTTTCGATCTTGTGTCTATGTTAAATTATCACCAGTATCACGAAAACCCCAGTATAACAGTACCTACAGGGGGCCTACAAGAGGGACTTTTTACAAGGGCATGTAGTGATAGAACAAGGAGTAATGGCTTTAAATTGAATGACGGTAGATTTAGATTTGATATAAGGAAGAAGTTCTTTACTGTGAGGGTGGTACGGCCCTGGCACAGGTTGCCCACAGAAGCTGTGGCTGCCCCATCCCTGACAGTGTTCAAGGCCAGGTTGGAGAGGGCTTTGAGCAACCTGGTCTAGTGGAAGCTGTCTCTGCCCATGGCATGGAAGTTGGAACTAAGGGATCATTAAGCTCCTTTCCAACCAAAACCATTTCATGATTCTATAATAACATACAAGTCTGTTTTTCTCAGTAATCACATGGTACCTGGATGTATCCATTTCCTGTATTTATACAAAGTCAGGTATACACTTTCTGTTGTAAGAATATATGAACACTTCTATTTCACACCTCCTTCTCTTCTATTTTCCTCCTCTTTTAGCTCACTGGATATGCCTCTGATTCTAGTATTTTTCATCCGTAACAAGGAAGTTAGTGGTGCTTTTGGCACTCATGAAGTCATTGATTATTAAAAAAAAACCAAAAAACAACAAACCAAACCAACCAACCAAAAAAAAAAAAAAAAAGAACCAAGAAGAAAAATCAAAACCAAAAAACAAACCATAAACCCCCTATTCACCTTTGCAGCAAATTACTGTCATGTGCTCCACAGCACTGTGATTTGCATTCAGAAACTGTTTGCTTGCACTGGTTTATTTAGTTGTATGGTCCACCAATTTCACATTTGCTCATTTAGTGGATTCCAATTTGCTTTCACTGAGTTAGCTCATATTTCTGTTGCCCTTGCATTGTCAAACGGTGATTCTATCTTTGATAAGCTTGTTGAGATACTATTAAAAATGGTACCCTGTACTATGAAAATGCAACAGCTGAACAAAAATCTATTAATAATCCTGATTATAAATCAAAGGAGCTGAAGATTAGGAAATTTGTTGTATGTTGCACTGATATTCCATTTTCTGTCTTTCTGTTTTGTAGTATGCATTATTCATTGAATTGATATGTAGTTTATGCATGGCTCCATCTAGAGACACTGGTGAGAGCCAGGTAGATGCAAGGCATCTTTACTATCCTTATTCATCCCAAAATTTTGGTTTACAGACTGACTTATGAAACTGATGCCTGATCAGAATATGTTGTAAATTCACTCTAAAAGGTGATGTACTAAATACTATAGGACATTCATGAAGAATTATGTCATCCTTGTGCACACATAGCAGCAGGAAGTTCCCAAAATATGTTTGTAGATAGGAAGGTATATATTTGGTCCTTGAACAGTCTTTTATGTATGTCATTAATTTTTTTTTACAACATCCGAATCACAAAACTAAGCCAGTAATGTTCAGCAATGACAAGATTATCCATGCCCATAGCAAACAAACCCAAGTGTTAATACCTTGTTCTGAGTTCCAGTTCTCAGAGGATAGGTGCTAAATACCCTCTGTAGACCAAACACTCAATACAGTTTTGTTTCATATGGCATAGAAATACAGAGATTTCAAGTGACGGGAAATCAATTCCTTCTAGTTTGATATTTTCCACAGTTTAACTACTCCTACATTTGTAAGAAAGCTGGTACCTAATATGTTAGTATTGATATAATCAAGATCTACTCCTCCTTTTTCCTCACAGCATTTAAAAAAAAAAAAAAAAGAGAGAGAGAGAGATATTTGTGTGTGTGTTTATTTCTAAATGGAGTAACTTAAACCACAGTCAGATCTTCAGATGACCCAAAGAAACAGATCGATATTAATGACTGAAGTGCTACCCAGGTAGCCCAAATTATAGGCCACTGAATTTAGTCTACTTGCTCAGTGTGTTTCTCTCTATCCCGGATTAGGGTAAATCTGTTGAAAAGAGAAATTATGACAAGTGTCGTAGTATGTGGCATTTGTTGTATGTGAGAGCGTAGCCTCTCAGGATTACATGTCTCCTTACCCTTGGGTTCATGACTGAGCCAAATACATCAGCAACATGATGTTTTCTTTTAGCTCGATATTACTCCTACATAAACTGTTATATACATACTACTATCACATATATACTAATGATAGACAGAAATAAGGACAGCAATGTACAGCTCTGCAGAATATATTAAAATTAGTGAAGTGTAATTTGCAAATCCTAGTATCTTAGATTTAAACATACAAATATTGATGTTGTCCTATTACTGGATGATTATACACGGAAACAGACAAGTATTCTCCACTTTTATGCCCTTTTTTACTGGCTTTTCCTTTAGGATGTCAGCAAGTATTTGGATCTGTTTCTGTACACCAGTCTTAAGGCAAGTACCTAAACAGTGTAGTACACCTCCAAATGAGGCTTCCACAGTACGCATTATTCCACCACTATGCAGAAATCATGCAAAATATTGGAGCAAAATATGTAAATTGTGGAAGTGGGATGAAACTACCAAACATATTGGAAGAGGTGTATTATCTATTTGGTTCATACTGTTCATATGCACGGTGTCCATGGTCCAACCTTGGAAATACTACCAGCTTTGTCCAAAACATGTAAAATAAGCCACTTCAGTCCCAATAGGTACTAGTTTTCTATGATAAATATATACACATAAAAAATGAATTTAATACTCTGAATATTGAGAATATTTCTACAAATACTAACTTAGTGTCCAAGTGATTTTGATAACTATTTCACCTTCTTTCACATCATCACTGCATCACTTTTCTGCCCATCATTAAACACTAGGCTAAAGTTTCAGAATGGATACAATACCTGTATATCCACATGCATTTTTACAGCATTTTCATATTCTTTATAATAAAAAGTATGAACAAAATCCTATTACTGTGAAATATCTTGTATGAAATACAAAGAAATAGGTGAAAAACTTTCCACACATATTAAGAAAACTTACCCAATTGACTGAATGCCATTTCTGTAAGACTTGATAAAGTAATTTTTCCGTCCTTCCCTAGTGACATCAACCCAACCACCTTCATTGTCTAGGATGCCATAATGTATGGCAGCTTTACAAATACTGGATTGCTGAAAAAGAGAGCAAGAAAAGCAGATCCATGTCAGACAAAGCCACTATTTTACTTTGTAATTTCTTTGTGAAAAACCAACTAAACAATCAACAACCAAACACCCCACACACCCCAAAAAAACCCCAAAAACAAAAACAAAACCCCCACCAAAACCATTCAGGGTTTAACTACAATGTGTCATTAAAACCTTGGTAGACAGTCTAATGAGCTTGATACTGCCTATGTAGGTATTATTTCAGATGAAGAAAATGCCACTTTGCCTTACTTGGGGGCAAAATATACTCATTTCTGGTATATGTGTTTACAGTAGCTGTCACTTCCTACACTGTTTTTCTCATTCTACAGAATAAATTACATATTTTCAGCTACCATTAAGCTTACACAGGTAGGCCTGTCTGTCTTACTCAAATAATCCATATTAGTGTACCCACAAATTGCTGATTTCTCTTTAAGTTGCACCTTCGCATACTTACATGCAAGTATGCAGACACAAAAAGTCTACTTCTGTGCATGTATAAGAAGTATAAAGTATATTTGGACAGTACATGCAGAATAGCAGATGCAAACTTAGATTGTCTGATGTGATCTTAAACATTTGGTGTAGGCTTTTATTTTTGGTAAATATTGCTTTCTTCAAAATCCATTCTTAGTATGTTTTTAACTAGTATTCCAACAGAAAGACATTTCATTAAGCATTCTACCGGTACAGAATCTAATTTTAAAATAGTTACCATTTCATAATGTACACTTCCAATAACTTTGGCTTTGCTATCCAAACAGCCAGCAGGACATTCATACCTAAGAAAATAAAATACAACTTGGTTTAAAATCCTGGGATTACAAAAAGGGAAAATATCCCAGCTCATAAACAAATAGAGCCTTTTAAAATAATCTCAGAATGACAACTGTAAAATTTACCATACCTATTGCAAGTTGTTCCTTTGCACTGATCTCTTAGCCTTACTTCACATGAAACAATCTGAGCTAAAACAAGCAAAAAGCAATTTCACTGCAGTGAATTTGGTACTATATAATTCGAATCTGTTGACCACTTGCAAATCAGGTAAATTCCTTACACATTTGCTGTGTGCTTATTACTTCATTTTTCTCACTGTCATCAGTGCCTGTGGAGCCTGAAGGTGAATGAGTTCTTGGCCGGCTTTGTGCTGTTGCATCCTGGCCTTTGGATTGCTGTCGTTCAATCTCATTGGTTTCCTCTTCTGGTTCATGGGGAGAATAAGGTCTTTCTGACTCCTCTGTTTCAGAAAACAGGCGAAAAAAAAAAATCTCAGGAAAAAAGAAATCAGTGTTTGTGGAATGTAAATCCCTTACCACGTTTTGGTAACATGGCTTTGCCCTTGTAAAAAGGTGGAAGAGTAAAAGCAAGAAAGCAAGGAAGACTTTCCACTGCTTCGTAAGATTAAGACCTCAAGATTAATAATACATCTCAAGACAGCAAAAACTGAAGTATGAAAATGCTCCTAACACTCTTGTTTTAGTATCTTTATGTCATCAGAAAAACAACAGAACAAATATGGAATTTCTATTATACAATCAGAAAAGTTTTACCAAGTTCATTGATAACTTATAATTAAAGAAGCTGGTTTCATAAAAACATACACCTGAAAAAGAAGCCTTCTATTCCAACGTAATGAAAATAATTTTGAAATACTCATCAGTGAATCTAAATTTCTCACTTCAGCAAAACCATAAGGAAGGTATTTGGCCACATTCATCCAGCTTTTGTGATCCATATGAACTTTCAAACGTTATTAACAAAGCCTGCTAAATTACTTGTACACAGAGTAAACAAAAAAAATAAATAGCACCTTCATAATATTTTGTGTTTCAATACTATGAAGTATGAATTGCATTAATGAAAATTGTAAGAAGTTAATAATCATCCTAGATGGCATTTTAATTACTAATGTCTTCTAGTCTTGTTCTCGATATTCTTCTAGTAATGCACATGGCTATGTCCCTGAGATAACGTTTCGTTATGAACAAATGACTGCACAGACTTCCACTATAATTACAGAAAGGCATACACATAGCACACAGAGACAGTCCACGTTTGTGTACTAAAAGCCCTCAATCAGCACTTCAATCATCAGGAGTTCAGTACACTCCACTCCCTCTGGTGAGGCTTGGCCTCACATATAGTAATTACATGATCTCATTCATCATAGAAAAAGTAGGCCCCTACCAGGTCTTTGTGAACATGCATAATATATTCTATTCCACTAAGCATAATGAGGGAAGAAGGCAAAAAAAGGGCTACATTTCTCTTCCCATTTATACTTGTACTGTCAAAATAGAACATACCTCTGTAACAAAGATTTTCTCTGCAACCTCCTCCAAAACTAGGGGGACAAGCAGAACAAGGGCGGCCAGGTTTGTAAGGAGCATGACCCCACCAGTTACCCCTGTACACAAGCAAAAGAAAATAAAAAATTAGCAAAACATGGCTTAATAAATAAATAAATATATTAACATTAAACTACATTTAGTATGTGGACAATGATGAAAACCAGCAGACACTTAGACCACAACATTGTTTTGATATTCCCAAGTAGCAAGTGACAGTATGAGAGGAAACAGCCTCAAGCTGCACCAGGGGAGTTTTAGATTGGGAATTAGGAAAAATTTCTCCACTGATGGGGGCTGTCAAGCTTTGGAAGAGGCTGCCCAGGGAAGAGGCTGAGTTCCCATCCCTGGAGGTATTTAAAAGGTGGGTAGATGTGGCACTTAGGGACATGGTTTAGAGGTGGAGTTGGCAGTGCTTGGTTTACAGTTGAACTTGTTGATCAGGAAGGTGTTTTCCAACCTAAATTATTCTCTGATTCCACGATTCTATATAAAATGCACATGAAGTAATTAAAAACTCCATGCAGCAAAAACTGAAGTACTGCCACAAACTGCTGTTACAATCTTTTTAGATTGGCATAGCACCTTAACACTAAACTCCTCAATTACATGAGATCAGGCTCTGCTTTCCTAAATGGAATATCCTATAGAATTTGATCTTAACCATGGGCTTCATGTTACACATTCCTTAAAGTCACAATGCGGAGATACATTCATTTTTCAGACAAATATCACACTAAAACAAAGATCTCTGATGTTGGATGATAAAACACAGGCCAGAAAACTGAAAATCAGAGGAGTATTTGTGCAGACAAAAGCTGCATTTGGAACAATGCTCTACTTTATAAGAGTACAAAAAAATAGAAAACCTGGACTGATTTCCTTTCAGACTATTTCCTGTATTACTGTAAAGTATCTTGCCCCCCTCAAGATATTTTTGGGTGTCAGCCTACTTACTTAGGAGAATAATTGCATACAAGATAGACTGCTTTTGGCCAAATCTGCCCCCAGATGTTCATGTTGTGACACAAATTAATTGCACAACCAATTCTGCTACTTGTAGCCCAAACAACCTATGGAAAATGAAAGAGAAATACATGTGAAAACTAAAGCTGATTAACATAAAATCAAAACTCTCTCTTAATGTCAACGTATAAAACTCAAATCACAAAAGTAATGTTAAATTCAACTCTGTTATTAATGGGTTGAGGTGACCTAATTACAACTGTCAAAAGGCCATTCAGTTATATCCTTGTTAGAAAGAAAAGCTTTCCCCTCATAAAAATGATATGGCTCTCATTTTACATAAATGGTCTAAGCATGTATTTGAAAGTATAGAAAAATATTTACAAAACATGATCCCAAGAACTGATTCTTGGAATTACAATTAATAGATAATCATGAGTTAGACATTAGGTCCCTATGCCCTGGAGCTCTCAGCACAACTTAAGGACTCAAGAGGGGTTTAGGTTGTTTAGACTGAGAGAACAGATGTTTGTCAGCAGTGAAAGCAGGTAACAAATTATAAAGCTATTCAGAGAAACAACGAATGTACCAGAAAGACTCAATACACGGATTTTCAATGAATATGCCTTCATGCCATTGTAATTTAAGGTGGCTGTGCTCCTTTATTCATCTGTTGAAACAATTTTCATTGCAGATCTCAAAATAATCTGAATTGCAAAGTCTGGAATGTTAAAATTAGACAAATATGACAGGTGCTAAATTTGTATTAATTCAAGATAAGCCAACTGTGTAATTTCAGCAAGCCTTAGAAGTTGAAAGAGATAGGTACTCTGAAGAATTAATACCACAAAGAACCATATATATGTATCGTAGATCTCGCATGCAATTGATAAGTGTAATTACAGGTATTTTTACAGAAATGGTAAATAAATACATGGAGGTATTTTTGTCTTAAAATTACATACAATTGTAAATTGCTCAAGTAAACAAAATAAATATTTAAAAATTAATAATTTTGAAGTTTTCTAATACTATATTGAAAATTATATGTGGATTTTAGTATAATCCAAGCATCAAGTGTTTCCTATTCACTGAAAACATGATTGGTTCCCCTGTGGAGAAATTCAGGCTAGGTATGCAGATTTCAGAAGTACCAAATAAATTGGTTCTTATGCAATTTCTAAATCTTGTTGAGGTTAAAGCAATACGTTAAAAAAACTCTTGTTTTATCTGAGGAATTCACCTAAGAAAACTTTTCTTTTTTTAAAATGTGTTTCTTCAGCATACTACAGAAAGAAATACGAATGTACCACCAACAGAGACTAGATTCTGTAAAGTGCAAGAGCAGTAACATTAAGTTCAACACAAGAGTTTGTGAGCTTTTTCCTTAATCCTATTAAGGAAGTGGTATTTATAAGGACTGAATCTAGAGATTTGTATGATAACCCTACTCTATGTCACTGCTATCCAATGCTTGTAACTACAGAGTCTGACAAACAACAAGCCCCATTTGTGCTTTAGTGCTATGGTATATGCTGCAAGATTAATGTTCTACATTGTCATACAGTAACCTAACTGGAGGTCTTGATCAGTCTTTTCCACAGCTGACAAAACCCAAACCCACCTACATACCTGTGTGTAATGTGTACAAACAGGACCAGAGCATCTGTAAGGACAATATGGGTTGCATTCATGAGGATGAGGATATGTGAAATCTCTCACTTCATCATACCATGCTTGGACATGAAATGTTGGAGGTCTGTACCTATGAAAGTCAATAGTAGTCCATTAGATCATTCAAAAGTTGTAGCTTCTATTATTCTTCATTTAAGTAACAAACAAATTTTGTTAGGTTTCTAAAAAATATAGCATAAAACAGCATCTTAAGCTACCTTCCCCAGTGTGCACCCAAATTCTGTCCAATTGATGGAAGAAGGCTTGCAGGTCCATGCTCCCATAGGCAGGTTTCAGCCCATGATTCTGCAGATCTCTCCAGTTCCGTGTCCCATGTCTGAAATTTGAAAGGAAAGAAAGGTGCATCTTCTTAGAAATATGTATCTCCTACTTTAAAAACAAAACAAAACAGGACTGTCCATTTTTAAAGCTTCTGTTACCAGGGCAGAAGAATAAATAAAAAAGTAAGCCTTGACAATTGTATGCCCAATTTGTGTTACATAAGAAAGAAAAAATGTTTTCACCGAAAGGAGAAAAAAGTTTTAATCCCTTCACAGCAGTACCTTTAGAAAGCATGTGCAGCCATGCTGCAATGAATAAAACACAAATATGAAACTGAAAGGCTTAGTTCAACTTTCCAAGCTAAATTAAGTGCATTTTCTGTCTTGTGAGAGTTCTTTTTAGTAATAGGTACTTTTCTTAGCCAAAAGGGTGTTATCCAACACATTTTCAACATAAGGCTTTATTTCCTCTAAACCAACAGTTTATCTGAAATGAAAGCAATTTTCTCTCCCTTTTCTATAATCAGCTTTTGTTGAAATAATACAGTGCAAACACAAAATATGAAAACCAGAGTAAGATTGTCGTTCATCGTTTTTTATGACAGACTGGCAAAAAGAAGGCATTCATGTTAGCAAGTGGCATGCTTAGAAGTTAAAGATTATGAATTATTGTTTCTCAAAACTGCTTATCCTTGGTTTTTTATTCTTTAAGGGACATGGAAGAATAGGTTGTAGCTGAAAGGCAAGTGCAAGTTTATTTCTTTTAAAAGCATTCAAGAAATGTACTCTTCCTGAAAGAAATTATATAATACGATGTATGCACATTTTTTACCGTGCTAAACTGCCATTTGCTCAAAGTGGTCCCTCTTGTGCAAAGTACCCATACCACTGCTGGACTTTTAACATCTCCTGATAGTTGCAGATATAGTTTCTAGATACTTGACTCTCTGATACCAATGCTCAGGTTAGGAAACTGAAATACTTCCAAGAAGGAAACACATTTCCTGATAGAAACTCAATTACTTCATCGTAAGTTCAGACTGAATTTCTTAGAGGGAGACTGTTATCTAGATCAACACTAATTCAGTATTTACAAAACCAAATCTCCTTGCAGACACTGGAGATCATGACTAAGCCAAAGAATACACAAACATAAAAGACAAATTCCATGTGCTAAAATTGATTTTTCTGTTGATTTTGACATGCAGTTTTCCCCTTATTAATCAGATTACTCATTAAAAATAAATATATCCTTGGTTATGCAAGACCATGATTATGTAAAGACTAATACAACTCAATTTAATCCTAGAATATCTGTTCTTGCTTCTCTTCTTCAGAAGTCTCTCATGTACTGAATTTGATTTTGTCTTATTAATATCATCAGCAGTTACAAAATTTACAGGGTCCATTTTGACTCACAAAATGCAACATTTATTTTGACAGAATTACTCTAACATAATAATGACAGAATAAAGCTTTTAACCTACATATGGATACAAAACCCACTGACTTTAAACAGTAGGAATTTTCTGTTCACCCTACTGGGCCAGTATTTCAATGTCATAAGCCACAGCATTCTTTAATCTCCTTAAGAAAATATTCTAATCTTAAATCAGAAAGTTTTATATGACAGTTTGTATAAATCTTTTCCCTTTCTTCGTCACATCACCATAAACAGTTCTTTTTTCTATTGTACCTGCTGTAAAAACCATAAAGATTAGCACACTTTTCCATATAGTTCTTATAAATGATAGTATTTGCTTCAACATTCTGCAATATAATCATGAGACTTTAAGATTTTGAAATAAAAGCCACTATAGAGTGTCTTTGTTGCATAAATTGTATGACACTGTCAGATTAAAATCCTGTAAGATTTAGCTCTGAATATGAACAAGTCATAAAGTTAACATATTTCCCAAATAATTGCTCTTTAAGAATGGTTTTACCAACCAGGTTCTGAAATACAGGTATACGATAAGTTAGACTTACATTAGACCAAAATGTGGGCACCTGCTCACTTTTAGAACTTCCTGCCTCCAAAGCCAGATAAAATTTCTTGTAGCTCTCACAAATCTCAGAATACCACAATATATTCTCTGGTAAAGCATCCCCTTACATTTTAAACTCTTAAAACAGCAGTCATGGTTAAAGAAATTGTACTGTTGTGTTGAGTTTTTTCTCCACTCAACTTTCAAAATATTTTATGCAGCTATTTTAAGTGAAATAATGATTTTCTGAAGATCAGAGCTAGGCAGTCAATAGTAGCTGCTTGAATCAACTCCTCAAGCTTGTGAAGTAGTTATCTTTAACAGAATTTTCTTTTAAAGAGTGATGACAGCTATGCATGACAGCGCCACCCAGAACTCTGCAATAGCTTTTTGATGAAAAACTTAAATTCAATCCTCCTGACAGATGAACACCCACACTCCAAGGTACTGTTGAGATTGGATGTCTTTCAAAAAGCTGCTTTTGCTTCTCTGCCTTCATGCACACTATGAAATGTTGTCTTTACTCCCCCTTGCTTTGCTGAGCCAGAGATAAGCACACTTCCAAGTTTCTAGTCCACAACCTTAGCTGCAGCAAAGAAATAATCTTCATGACTGAGCAGATGGAATGTAGCAAAGCTCTTTGCACGAAGCATAGCACAGGAGATAATATCAACAATGAGACTGGGGTATTTGGGTATTTTTACCCATTGCAGTCATTCCTCCATGACTCCATGGAGTCATGACTCCACAAAAGGTTAGTGTATCAGCCAAGGGGAGCCGACTCCACTTTTTTCAAGAATGTGTATATGTGCACAAGACTATCTCAGGTAGGAATCTGCAGAAGTAATTAAGGGAAAAAGGTCATACCTTAAGGCTCACCATGAAGTAATCAACCCTATTTCTTTTTATAAGAGTTTTAATTTGTCTCATTAGTGCTTTCCATGGTTTTTATTTACTAGTGTTTATGGTGAAGTGAGCCTCACCATAGTGCACTTTCCTTGTAGCAGCTTCATTACTGATTCTGCTCTGGTATCCTTCAAGACAGTGATAACACCAGCCTTCCTTGATCACTGCCCTTTCACGTCCATCATAATGACAGGTCTAATGACAGGAACTCCACAGAGACATCAGTTTATGACATGTATGAAAGAAGAACAGGAAGGAATGAAGTAATGGGAACGTTAAAGCTCAACTAATCACAATTTTTGTCAGTTTTCATTGAAAGCAAATAAATATAGATAAAACCAAATTTTGTTTCAATTGAAATTTTTCAATTTTCCTTTCGCTAATCAAACATTAAAAGTATTCTAATAGGCTAGACAAATGTTTACTGGTGCTAATCTAAAACAGTTTTAGCTAATCTTTGTACCACTGGAGAAAGTATGATTTTTAAAACTTGAGTAATTCATATTTCAGTACTTTTGTAAAATGCCAGTGATACTATTTCACGGGAACTTTCTCATATATCAGAATTTAAAGATCAGAATTAAAAAGACAGGTTATCTTTTTATAGAAAATACAGTACAAAATTTCAAAGCATACGTTTCATACACTCATTTAAGTTTAATCACTTAAAATTTTCATGAGAAATGGTGAACAAAAAGTTTTATGATAAAAATAATCAGAAATCTTACAGTAAATAGTTGCTGCTGTATAAGGATTGAATTAACGCAGTATCAACAGCTCAACAGATAATCCCAACTGCAACATGTTCTGACACTTGAATCAGATGTCAAAAGTCTTGCATGTATGTATTTTGAGTTTTCAGCAAACAATGCGACTTGTCTTGCTTTCGTCCTCAGTGCACCTTACCACACAACCAAGACAGCTATTCAGGAAATTCGCTCTCTGTGCCAGAGAGGAAAGGACTCATTCATTTATTCTTCAGCTCTTAACACCTAAACCCCTTATTTTTAGTGCCAGACAGAAAAACTACCTGGCATGGATACCATGCACATACACCTAGCACAGTCCGTTGTCAGAAAACACTATTGTCCTGCCAGCCAATGCTTAGTTTGATCCAGAAATTTTTAGATGAGGTCATGAAACCTACAGTACAACTTATGATGTTTCTTCTTCGAGACTATGTTTGAATTCAAATGCACTCAAATAGAGATGAAATATCAGATACAGAATGGAATATTAAAGATTAACGTCTCTGTAGTTATGGCCAGGTCCATAAACTTGTAAAACTGTTAAATGACATGTAAAAGACATGCATGTGACTTGTAATATAAAGTCTGCAGACTGCAGTTGTAAGAAGTTAATTTGTTATATATATACAGTTACCTGTGAAAGCTGAAATTAGGAAAGATTCAAAGCCTAAGTATGATACAGAAAGGAGGTAAGATAATAGGATCAAGTTTTCACAGACTGAAATTTCACTTTTTAAAGGGTGATCGCTCATTTCCTGTAGCTTTGGTGCACAATTCTGTATATATGCAGAAGGTTAGAAAGCACTGAATCAAAGGCTATCTTGAAAATTTTAATCTGAGAAAGTGTAGTTTATAAGGCAGAAAGCTGTATTTGTCATGATAACCCTTTATTCAATAGTATCATGAAAGAACCTATAGAATTGAAGAAATTGTAGAGCACAAAATAGTATAGCATATACCATTTTCTTAGTCTTGGATATGTAACTGATTTGCACCTGCCTTGCCCTCTCATGTCCAAAGCAGAAAAGTACACCACGCAATTCTCAAAAAAGGTGCAGATATAAACTTGCTGTACATGAAAGGGAGAGAAAGAGAGGTACATAACTAGGTAGCTACAACCACGATGACATCATGATAACAGATGAGCAAAAAAATCTCTTTATTTTCTCCCCATCTCTGCAGTAGCTGTGTCTTCCCATTGCCAGGTAACATCTTTTGGTCTTTTAGTTAGCATCATCCACATATAAAAACCAAGGGTCAAGGCTCAGTGCTGCTCAAGACTTAATTTCATCATCTACTCTGAATAGTCTACCACTCACAAGGCATCATGGTCTATAGCTCAGACACTTCTGCTATCCACAACACCATACCCACACAGTAAAACTGGTGTTTTACAAGCTATTTCACTTGAGC